GGGCCTAAGAGGATAACGGAGCATGTTTTTAAAAAAATGTCACAACAGTTGTATTTGGATGGAATGAATACCTATAGTGATATTTCAAAGTAATACAATTATTTTTAAAGTGAAAAAGGTCAAATGGAACCGATGGTTCCCAAATTATCCAGAGGTGAGTCCGCCTGGACTTTATTTTTCTAAACCTGTCTAAAAAGGTCAAATTTCACTTGTTTTGCATCAATCTTGATACAGGGTACTTATTATATGTTATAGTTTGGATTCCTAAAGCTTTTAGTCTACTAACCCATCATTCAAGGGTGGTTTTCACCATAAGTAATGGTTTTTCTTTAGGCGGACATTATTATTTACATGTTTTTACTATGTTCCATCTGAATTTACTTTAAAATAAAAACATCTAGATTGATTCTGACACTTCTACATCCAACTCACAGATGTAACCTTGCTTTGAGAGAAAAGATTATTAATTTACCCCTTTTAGAAGTGAAGATATAGTCTTTGCTGTGTTAGTGGCATTTTGGAGCCTGAAATCTGAAAAACAGGCTCAGTGCTTAAGAGGCTAAGAGAGAACAATTCAATATTTAAATGATAACATTACATTTTTTGGGTATCCTTTTGTTGAACTGTCTGTTTAAAATTAATCGAAGCATCAGACAAAAAAAGCTTTTGAAAATAATATTATATTTTGATTTAGGTCAAAATATAATATTTGTAAACCTGAAGAGTCAGAGTCAGTGCCTCGCCAGCCATGAACCTCTCTGCACGTCACTGCAGAAGCTTATAGACATCTACGTTTTTTGTGCCCCACCACTTTTGTACATAAAAAAATGCCACTGGGTATGAGCAGTATGTTTTCCAATATAGCATGATAGGTCCACTTTAAAGTATAGCAATAAAGATAAAACAAAAAGTCAAATGTGACCAATCAGGCCCTTACTGCTCGCACAGTCATTTCACAGAGATTTGAAGTTTAAGCAGTGATGTAAATTAACTAAGTACATTTATTCAAGTATTGTACTTAGGAACAGTTTTGATATACATCGTGTAATTCTACCACTACATCATTCATTTGCACATTTTTATTAAAAATTTGAATTATATTCAACACTTAAATAAGACTTTAGTGACATTTGGAGTAAATTCACAAGCTACCCTGCAACTGGATGTCCATTTGGGATTTCTTTCCACATTTACTTTACTTTAACATTTACTTTAAAGCATTGCACAATATTGCACAAGAGAGTTTGTTAGAGCGAAGCTTTATAATTAAATATATATGAAGAAGCAAAGAGCCACTTGCGCAAGCAGTGCCTCAGGTGACGGTTGTCCTGAATAAGGAATGTTTGTACAAGATGAATAACCCAAAATTAATTTCTTTGTTCGATGCCAAGAAAGCACAAGCTGATTTCCACATATCATAATGTAATCTCTTTGAGTGCTGTCAAATGTAAATGTGTTCACACGTATACACAAATATTTCTTAGAGTTGTATTTTTCCATGACTTGAAGAGGAAGTGATGAAATGACACACAATGAAAGTCTTATTTCCAGTACGCGTTGCTGTTTAAAAGTGTTGTGAAATGAGTTTAATTGTCTAGTTCGAGTTTGTGTGCTGTTTTAACTGTGCGTTATGCAAACAAGTACAAGTACATGTAATGAAGCAAATTGAAAACCTTTCACTTCCTTGTACCACTACCTTGATGACTGGAGCAATACATATAACTGTGAATAATAATAATGCTTGTTTACAGGGAAAATGTAGTAGTTGGTAAACACTAAACAGATTATTGTTATACTTTATTTAAAAAAATATGCTGTTATTAGTCATGAATGAAACTATAACAAGGTTAAGAAAACATTACATTTGTTATGTGCGCACAGCCGCACACACATACTCGCTTTTATTTGCATTGGGCAACAAGAGCTGATCAATACTTGTGAGGAACCAACCTTTCACACACACACACACACACACACACACACACACACACACACACACACACACACACACACACACACACACACACACACACACACACACACACACACACACGCACCTGTACGGACACCATACTTGAGAGTGTCTCTACAGTCCACCAGGATCTGCTCCAGATTCTCTGGTTGGTCGGGCAGCTCCAGGCTGAAGCCGTCCAGCCCCTCCCTCAGCTGGTGAGGGTGGTGGAAGTCAAGGACCTAAAACACAAAGAGAAATATTTGTTTAATTGCCTAACCCCGCTGAACACCATATTGCTGTTTGAAGCCGGTGAGCACCTTGGAGCTCCTCTGACTGGACTTGCTGATGTAGGTCAACAGGATGTGAACCAGCTCCTGCAGGAACCCTCTGGTCATCTCCTCGCCTCCTGCAGCTGGGAGCAGATCTGTGCACCAAACACACACACACACACACACACACACACACACACACACACACACACACACACACACACACACACACACACACACACATACATACACACACACACACATACTGGTTTTTAATCTCACTGGAGACACAACTCTGATCATCACTTGCAGGGACCAACCTTTCACATGCGCTTAATCACAAACAAAAAACAAATGCGCACAGGCAGACTTGTTTTTATTCTTGATGGGGACCAACAATTTGATAATCTAGTTCAAGGACTAACCAAACACACTGACACACACACTGACACACACACACCGACACACCTACACATACAGTATTTCTCTTTCAAATGAAAGTTGCCTCACCTGGAGAAATGGCACATGTTTGCATAAGCATTTGGCTATCAGAAGTGATAAATAGCTGTCAGTTAAAATCGGTTATATTTTTTGGCATGCCTGCTTATCTTTAATGATTTATCTGTGATTCAGTGCCAGTCTCTACTTTTCTGAAAGTGGGCAAGCATGTTTTTTGTAGTTCACTCTATGGAAACACACTGATTGATTGATGGATTGATTGATTGGAGTTTATAAAGATGAATTTGTATACCCCTCACAGAGCCCTGGACATGCTGACCATCAGTGACCGAAGACCCTGGTCTTGAATATCAGGCGGTCCAAAAACGGCTTTCTCTCTCACCTTTGCTGTAGATACTGCTGAAGTCATCAGGTGTCTGTCCATTGCGTCTCCCTGCTGCCGAGACCTGCTGCTTCTCCTTGCCAGCTGATGTAGCACTTATTATGTCTGAAAGTACAAAACACGTATCGTTTCATCACAGTTGAAATAAACGTACACGTTGAGGAACTAGTAGCAAGTAAAGGACCGACTTCTCCTTCATTTAAAGAGTTGTTCTGAGATGAAGCTCACAAAGTCATTTTCATATCTTACGCTTTTAGTTTTGCACACCATGCAATATACTCACTAGTGTCTATCACAAGCAGGCAGCATATAAGCTTCTTTGTGTCATATCAAATCACCTACATTTTCTATTCAAATTGCCTGACAGCTTGCCTGCTAACCCCCAATGTAAGGGTATGTTTGCTTTAATGCTTTTTCGTTAGTGAAATGCGTCCTTAGGACCGAATTGGTTAAATTGCAGGTAGTTGGCATTAAACCTCAAATACTTAAGCAATAGCTCACGACAGGCCGTGGTATATGCTCATTCGCGTCGGGCCGAACCACGCCCCTTAGCTGTGATATAATGAGCATATATCACGGCCTGAAGTGAGCTATTGCTTTTATAAAACGGTTATTAGTAAATAATGATGTTCAAAATAAAATAATCCCTCCGTTGCGTTCTGCACGAAACATGTGTAGTGCGGTGGTTGCTATGCAACAACACTAACAGCTAGCGAACATATTAGACAGAGAGCGTTGATCCATTGTTTGGCTATTTATTTACATTCATTTGTATGTTGCCGTTTATTGTGCACCCACTGAAAAACTGTCCAGCATCAGTAGCATGGCTTACGAGGTTACTTGTAGGTTGAGGTTGTTGTTGCTTGGCGTGGCGAGAATATTGCTCCACTTTCTCGGGTCCCCGAGATTCGGCTTCCAGCAGCTCTGGAGAGAGCTTTCGCACCTGTGGCCACTAACGGTCATAATTTCTCTACTTTGTTTTAAGACCCGCATCAGAAAGCTTTTGAATGGTGTTACTTTTCCAGTTGGTCTACCTGCTCTTCACGTAGCTCTGCATGTCGTAGTTTAGGTGCTTTTTTTCTGGAGANTGAGACGAGCTCCTGTAGATTTGACCAAACCACTGAGGATTACTTAGGCTACAGTGTTACCTCCCTGAGCTGCACGTTATCTCTCTCAGTCCCACAGGAGAACCTCTCTCCTTATTTGTGAAACAGCTAATCTCCGTTTGCCTCGAGCTGAGCACAGATGCCCTTAACGACAACCTGTAATTTTATCATGATCAATGAACGAATCTTACGCAAACAATGACACCAGCCCAGGCCCACCTTCATCTTTTTGAACAGAAACATCGCCCACTTCGGCCAGACTTTGAACATTACTTACAGGCCAGCGGCAATGCAATCGTTTCACTGTGTATTTGTCCTCCCTCTTTCTTTCACTGTCGCCTCCATTGTCAGGTTTTCTCGTTTGGGAATCACTTCCAGTCGACTCCGACACACTTTCCAGGAAAATACTAGCTCAAAAACGTTGAGAAATTCGACTTTGAAAAAGAGAAAAAATGAACGGTGGTGAATGTAAACAGTGCAGCGGCGTCCATCTCGTGACGTCACGCAGTAGATCGCAAGCCACGCCCACGAAGGCGAAGGTCGACTGCAGATTTCCCCGGCAAATTCAAAACTCGTCAAATTCGTTGCTATTCCAACATCTTTTGATATGGGTTCCAATGGACAATTTTTGTCATTACTATACATATTAGCATAACAGATCATGCACAGGTGCACACTTCACAGGGTCTTTAATATCAGTGACCATTTACTGGAGGATGTGTTCTTATTTCCAAAATGGATGAAATCCCTCCAATTTGTTCCCTTTTGTATACGTACAAAGATACAGAACTGACCTGTGTCTGACGTGAGTGTTACTGTCTTTATTTTGTATTATTATAAACTGGACGCTGAGTTTGCATCGCAAGGACAAATGTTGGATGTTATTACACAGAGTGAAGCTCTCTCCCAATCAGAGACCTCTTCCTCTCAATACACCACGTGCCTTCTGCTCAGTGACTCCTGCAACCAGTCTCTGAAAACCAGGGCTATCACACACAAACACGCACGCATGCACGCACGCACACACACACACACACACACACACACACACACACACACACACAGCAGTTTAAGTTAGCCAGTGTCATTTGCATCACATTTAAATGCTAAGGCCTCAGCATGGTTTGAGGTCATTTGAGGTCATTTAAGGACAGACTTCTCTGTTCATCCTGCCGGTGTTAGAGCAAAGTGTTTAAAGATGCAATCTGTAAATATTCTTTTGGAAGGTTAATCGTTTTTTTATGGACTTTGAAAGTGCTTATGAAAGCGAGAGAGTTCACAGTTATGTTTGTATTTCTGAGTGGCCGTTGGCATCAGCAGAGCGAAATTAAATCCAGTGGATTTGAAATGGTATTCCAAGATTTTAAGAAAAATATATGATTTGGACCTTTTGATTGTTAAAAAGTATTTGATGATGTTTTGTAAAATGACCCCTTCAGTTACGCGATTACTTTCCATGTACTTTGGGAGAAGATGTTTATTGCTCATATGAAGAGCATCATTTATTTTTGGATGTAGCCTGTATCTGTAGCGTGTTTTCTTTTGTTTGATTTTTTTTTTACGCAATGCATTATTTATTTATTTTCTTACATTCCTGATCAAAACTATGATTTAAGCTGTATTTGAGTTGTAACTGTTAAAACACAGATTGAGAGCTAAAGCTGTTAAAAACACACCCAAAGTAGATCCATCATTTTGAAAAAGCAGAAGAAATTAATAATTTCGAATGCTGTCAACTTTATGAATTGGTACTTGCCACAAAAAGTAAACGGCTCATTCAAATAAAACGGTATTCTGTTTTTAAGCAATGGTCCTATTATTATTATTATTATTATTATTATTATTATTAGCAATACTTTTGTCAGTAAAGCACAAAGGGTTTATTACTGGATGGCACATGTTTCTCCACACTTTCCATGTGTATATCAGAGGAAATGGAAAGCACGAGAAATCTTCCTCTATACTATACTAAAGTGTTGCTGTCATATATAAACACCACTACGGTGTAGTTATGTAATGTATGAAAAACTCAGGTTCACATTAGAGAACTTTAAAAGATTGAACGAGGAAGTCTGTCTGTCTGTTTCACTGTGCAGCTCTCACCTGGCCTTAGCTTCACTGTTTTGTATATTTGTTGCAGAAGAACCTTGTTTTGATCATTTCTGAAGGCCTTGATGTATAAAGAAGACCTGATGGAACCTGCAGAGACCCAGCTGCAGTCAGCTGTTTGATGCCCGTGTTCATGTTCTTGGTTCTGTTAGAACTCACATGCAGTGTGTTTTTGTTGTTTTTCAACCTTTTTATATTGTAAACTTTCTACATGATTTTGTACTTTGTTTCTTTTTCATACAATAAAGATAAGGATAAATATATTCACTTGTTTGGGGTTTTATGTCTAACATTATATGAAGTAGAAGAAGTGTGCTCTGTATAAACGGAAAAATACACAGTAACTTTTTTTAATAATAAGAGCTAATCGTTTGTTTTTATAAAATAATTAGTAACAATAAAAATTAAATATTTTGGATTTTTCTGTTGTTGTTTTACCATAAATCCTGTATCAAACCCATAGTTAGTGTGTGAATACTTTAAAATACAAAATTATTCTGATTGACAATGAGTCTTAGAAGCTCCAGTAGTTTGACAGTTCAGGATTATATATTTTAAAGGATGATTCTGGGTCAGTAGCTGCCGGCCCCGCCCCCTTTGGAACACGCAGGCACAATGTGAGCTCCAGAGAGGAGAGAGAGATTTCTACTGGCAGATAGAGATAGAGATGAAATGCCATAT